TTTTGCAATTATAACTCACTGGTTCTGCAATAAATTACCTAAAACTAAAGTAAATTTCTTCAAAATGTAATAAGTGACAGAAGCTATATTTCTCTCTTTTTTTTATTAATAGCTGCCATTTAACATCAAGCTTGATGTTTTGTAAATACACTGCAACAAAGTTGTGTCCAAGTAGATGACAGATTTCTCAACAATGAGGCTCCCTGTTATGTGATTTAACAGAATAGGGACAGATACTAATCAGGCTGGATTTTAGAATGCTATTGTTGTTCTTATGTTTAAATATAAAGGGACAAGGGCATGCATTAAAATATCCTCCTCACTTCACTTGGTTACATTTATGCTTCCCACCCTAATTCATTTTTTTTTTTTACAACAAATGAATAAAGCCTTTTTAAATGTCAGGAACTTCAAAATCATTTTAAAGAGCATGAGGCGTTTGTATATCTTGGCAACCACAGCCAATATATCTCACAGTATTTGATAAGTTTAATACAAATTAAAACACCTAATTAACTGGACAGTTTGGCAGTTCTTATCCCCGTTATGACAAACCCCAGTCCTCTGGCCTCAAGTAAATACCGTACCATTGAAAAAAAAGCAGAGATTAGCTGGTCGCTGCTTAAGATGAGTCTGGATAGTTGGAGTTTGTGTATTAAAAATAACCTGTGCATCCTGCATGAATGGGGGCCAGGGCCCATAATCGGCAGCTTGGCGTCCTCCGACCCCTTTGGCTCCTGACCTAATAGGAAGCAGCCAGGGAGAGCGCTGACTCCGGCCAGCCAATTAGAGCGCATGGAGCACGGAGCATACTGAGGCTAACGAGCTCCCTCTCTGTGACCCTCCTCACCTCTGTAGGACCCTGCGATGGGAAATATGAGGAGCCGGGAGCCACTTTAACTCCACGCCACCCCTCCCCTCAACCTCCCTCTTTAGCCTCCTTCGTCTCCCCACTCCAACCTCTACGCTCAAACCCTGCTGTGTGACCACAAGGTCTACAAACACATGCTGCCTCTCTCCAGAGGCCCACCACATGGCTTTTTACTACCACGCTGATGCTAAAAAGCACCACACAGAAAAACAATGAGCGCGTACACACACATTCCTATCACGGAGCTGGAGCTGTGTCACTTGCATTTCCCTGCAGTTTACTCTGGCCCGCTTCGTGGAGGAGCAACGGAGCCTCTTTCCAAATACTCTGAATAGTAAATGGGTTCCAAATTAATTGGCAGGATTTGTGAGGCAGTGAGATAATTCATAGGCACTGTAATGAAGTGGGACTGCTGCAGCACTAATGTGGCTTGGCTTTGGGCATTATGTGAGTTGAACAAAACATCATCGATACAGAACGATGAATCAAAAGCCAACAGTACACCTGGTAGGTTGATCTCAGCAGGTAGCGAGAATCAAAGGGCGGGACAGTCCTGATGTTGGTGCGTTTCCGGCACACCACTCAGCCACATCCAAAGCTAATGAAATAGAAAAAGTGGGGGAGCCAGTAAAAATCATCTACGTCCAACACCCCCACCCCCTTTTTCTCTGCAGGCAGAATTGGTCCTGTCATTTGGACCCTCCAAACACAGACCATATGTGGGTTCAGCCCTGGCAATCAGACTGCATTGTGGAGCAGGCGGCTGAGTTCATCAGGAAAAAATTAGCCCGCCGCTCTGCAGGCCTCTCTCCCATTGGCCAGTCACGCGGCCCGCTCCGTTTGAGGGCACCCCAGACATTCCTGCGGATAATCTTTTCCATTCCTCTGCTCAGCTCGGTGAGGACAGACCAAATCACAGCACAAGGCCTGCATTGTGAGGGCCTTTTCAAAAAGCCCTGTTTTCAATGCCGTCTCTCTTTTATGCTTTCCCTCTCTCTCACCTCATACACCACAATTCCAAAAAAGAAAAAAGAAAACTTTTTCCCATCATGGCTTCTTTTTCTCATAAAAAAAACAGTAAATGATTGCTTTTTTGAAATGACCCTGCGGAAAAGCGAAGTCCCGAACACTACGGTTCTCACAGTCCCTTTCCAGTAAGAGTTTGTTTTTGAAAAGCCTAAACAATGTAAAACCACTGAAACCGGAGCCTGGCCACATCAGTGTGCGGCCTGGAGTTCAGCGGATCGCTGCTGAATACGGCTCGCAAACCTTCCCAGAAACCTCCTGCTTGGTCACCGCTACATGCCTCGCACCTCCCACAGCAGCTTGTCATTGTGGCCGTCGTCGGGCGGCTGGAACGTCGAGATTGGAGGACAATCACACAATGTGGGGACACTGGTGGATTTATAGTAACACGTTCCATAATTAGATCCATGATTATTACAGGGTCTATAAACTTTAGACTCCAGAGCGGCTGTCCAACCTCTGCTGCTATGACTTAACAGTTACTTCACTTTCTCTAGAAGTACACTCTGCTCTTGGCTTCTCAGGGAGAATTTAACACACCACTGAATTGGTTTAACATCTCCTGTAGTGGAACAGCAACAACAAAGGATAGTAAAATCCGCCTTCTTTCAACACTTTCACTCCCCCTCTCCTCTCCATTTGCCCCTGAAACAGAGGTAGACAAAATAATCTAATGCGACTTGTATCCGAATGTGTGCTACAGGTCTTAAAATAGCCACAACACAAAGAAGGAAAACCTTTGACATAGTTCAGCAAGACTACACTTCTAATCCAGATGCTCCTAATTGTTCAGGAAACACATCCACCCTTACTGCAGGCTGTGACAGTAAAAAATGTTGCAATCAATCAAGATAGCTCTGCAAAAAGTACACATAGATAGGGGTGGTGGGGCTGGTGGAAAAACTGCACCTCACCGATCATGCTGAAACTTGTCCATGAAAAAGTATTTGCCTGTGAAAGAGAGGGTGGTGGGTTCTCTTCTTGTCTCCACTGGAAAAATAAAAATCTGTGATCTTGCGAAGATAAAAAATAAGAGATTTAGCTTTAAAGAGGATAAAACAGTAGGACAGAATCCTTTCTTTCTAAACCTTAGACAAACATGCAAGTAGGTTTTTTATCTTGAGATGTCCAAGAGAGAGACCACTGGGGCAGATGGGAATTGTGTCCCTGCTGCAGTTTCAAGATCAGTGTCCTGTTTTGAACTTTTCCTTTCCAGTTACAGAATGGTCCACGTAACGACCTAGCGACATTAGCAAAAACTGTTTCCACTGTCTGGGTATCAAATGTGATTGACCATTATACAACCCATTCACATTTCCGCTTTTTCTTTTAAATGACCTCTTTCAAGGTCATTAAAGATGGTCGTGTTTCTCATTCTTGAGGGAAAACCTTCCACTATAATCAAAAAACTAAGAAGAGACAAGAACATGTGTGCAGACATAGATTTGATCAGTTTAATCATATTGGCAAATTTGATTGTGTCTTTTTTTTTGCGGCCTATTCACAGATATAAAGGAATGATTTCAATTATGGAAAGACCTCAAGGCAGTTTTGATACTGACTAAAAAGAAAGAAACAAGCATGGATTATCTCTTTGCTTATCAAATTTAGATTGTACTAAAAAAAAGAAAGATTGAACGGATTTTTTCATTTTTGCTTTTATCTATAACTTATGATACAGAACCTTGATTTCTTTGTTGGTTGTGAGAGCGGTCTTAAAGAGGAAATGCACATGCAACAAGTGTTTTAAATACTTTGTCCTGGTTTGAAACAGATTACAAAAAAATTTAATGAACACCGCAAGATTGATTTAACAGAACATTTGATATTTACTTGTACCTTTTTTTAATCCGATGAACCACTTCACCCAGCAAATTCCGCTAATGTAGCTAAGAGCACTTCAAGTAAGGAAGAATTAAATCAAGTGAATCAGAAAGGAGTCCGATTCATCTGTAGTGCTGCGCAAAATGGAACAAATGGACAAAACCCTGAGCTAATTCAAAACAAGACAAAGAGGAAAAGCACTTGGTTTCTATTAGGGAGTTGTATTATCCACAATATATTATAAGATGTTAAGATATGCTCTATTTACATGTAAAGCTTTGTTCAGTGACATCAGTTGAGAACTAACAATGAACATACTGAATGTGCTTCTACTTAGGACTAAGGAGTTCTAGTTCAGAGATAGAAAATGTATCTTCTGTAACTTTAAAATCAAACAGCTGCTCTTGTCTTGCCAAACGAGTCATGCTCCCATCACATGACAGGCAGCTCAGCTGGTCGCAGCACTGACACTGCAGAAGGAGCGAGCCTTGGGGATGGAGTGATAAATGTATCAGCGTGAGCCGCATGTTCTGCACAGCTCCGTCCCCTATTTCGTTGTCCACACAGCAGACGGTTCGGTTCAGAATATCCACTAATGTCAGACCCTGCCTGCCTGTGAGTGCTGGTAGAAGGGCTGACTGGGGCGAACCTCAGAGCGCCTCTGTTGACTTGTCCATCACTGGGGCTCGACATGTAAAGACACTTTTAAGCATACGCTTCCTCCAGCCACACCTCTGAGCGGAGGCGGTGGTGTGTTTGTGTGGCAGAAACAAGCAAGACTTTCCAATGTATGAAGAAACTAAATATCATAGAAACTGAAATAAGATCCAGACAAAAGCTTCTCTATGAGTTTAGAAAGCTTTTTTTCCATTTAAAGATTAATATTGTTAATTATTTCAAAACACAGAACATGCACAAATAATGCATCACATCATAATTATCTCAATTGAACCTAATAAAACTAAAACTACATAACTACATACTGGTGTCTGAAATCATTTTGATCTGTCTTGAAAACAGACTAAATCCAATGAGATGAGATATTATTTGGGATGATTAAACAGTCTCATTGCATCAGGTCATGAGGTGCACTTCTCATGACTAATTTTTATAGCCTGCAACTGAGCCATCAGTTGAACCATCCTTGAATGCATCCACCCCCTACTTAGCTAAGAATACACAATAATAATGAATGAGGACAAGTGCATTCCGTTACATTTTACACACGAAGCGACAAGTACCCAAGAAGCACCAGGTTTGTTTGCACAGTCAGTGTTACCTGAGGATAGGCGACGCTGATGGAGGGGACACATGCCACTGAAACAGGAACAAGCCTCGCCTGAGCGTCCTCGCTGCATTGGAGGAGCCAACGAGCACTGGGGCTTCAGGAACCCTGTAACGGAAGAGATGAAGAAAAATTAGAGACAGAAAGAAAAAGATGAAGAAACAGAATAAAAAGAGGATTCTTCTGAGCATGCAACACTGATATAACAAAGGCCCACTCTGGCGGAACAAGGGAAATGGCAAAATTGAGAATTTGCCTTTCGGGGCCCTTTGTTTGACGGTCATGGGGTGAGGAGCAAACGAGTTACAAAGAAATATATTCCCGCCAGCACTGTGCCACCATCAGACCCAGCCAACCTCTCACATTTACAGCTCTGTGGCTGGCTGGCCCTCACCCTAACCTCCACCGGTGGCACCACACCAGCTCACTGCTCATGTCAACTCTGTGGCTGTACCCAGGGCGAGGCCTCCAGAATGTGGACACAGCCGGCAGAATACCGGGGTAAGGCTGCACTGGAGGAGGATGAAAAGTGGGTGTTAGCAGCCCAGTGTAGGCGAAACGCCAGATTCGGCCGAGGTGCCTCGAGGGGCTGGACGAGGCCGTCTTACTGTCTGTCTCCGGGGTCAAGCAGGTCATTTTCAATAGGGAAGTCATTATCCAGCACAATGAAGCAACTGAGTAGGCTGCACCCCCTCCGGAGCAGAATTCACCCGTCACTGACATTATCCAGCAAACAGGAAGAGCAACAAATAAACCTACAGTAGATTGCCAAAAATAGAACTGTTTTGGGGGATTTTTTTTTTAAATTACAGCACACACAAAGGGGGGAGAATAAAGAATAAAAAGTAAATACAAGAGAAATTTGGAACCAAATATGTGCCAAAACTCTGACCCTGTAGCACTCACCCCGACACTAATGACCTTTGAAAATTCCTGAATATCTTTAAATACTGCAGAATTAAAGTGGCATATGAGTGGCATTTGATGTCTTGATTGACACCGTAGCCTCTAGCCAAAGTGGAAAAACTTCTGTGTGAACTTTACTTTTCTCACTCAAATGAGGACTCGCTCTGTCTTTATCGACCGGGTAGCTCGTGCGAATCTCACCGGCATCTGCAGATCACTGCAAATCCAAACTTTATTCATTCCTCATGAGGACCTTTAGATTTCCAGCAGACATCGAGAGCAACAGCCTCCCCCCATCACTGTGTTCTGAGCCCAATAAAGCCCCTTTATTGCCACCATGAAAAACATGTCACTCCAGATGAGCTCAGAGAATGACATTTAAAACAGGCAAAGGGATATTGAATTAGTTCCCCATGATAAGCTGTCTGGGATGCTGATACTTTCTGCTTATAAAGGGTGTGTAAGTGTGAGTGTGTGCAGTTATGTGGATGTGAGAGGATGGGGGGGGGTTCATGTCAGATGCATTCTTCAAAGCTTTGATTAGTATTACGGATGAAGCGGGGACTGACAAGGCAAAGCAAGTCTGGACCAGCAAGAGCAAACGCAGACAGACTGAGATCATCCTGCAGATCGTGAATTAAATAAAACAGACTAGGAGGGCACTCCGACTGTCTCAGTAAACGACAAGTAAACATGTTTGAATCTCGTTGTTTGCTGAGCACAGTAATGCTTTTGTTGTTATCAGATGTTGGGAAATGTCATCTGAAACCAAGAGAAGAGCTGTTGGAAGGATATGAGTGAAATGTAGTGACAATTTATGTTGGTGATTCTACATAATGACATCTTAAGAGAGGACTGGACTCCAGTCAAGACTGTGTGTGTGTGTGATTAGGTTCTGATTGAGTTTTTATTAGATTAGGGATTTGTTCAACCCAATCAGACATGTGTTTCCTGTTAGCTTGGGTGCAATCTATCAATCGAGAGTATGATTTGCCAAAATTTTAAGATATCCATCTGTCATCACTCCGACGCAAGAACTCAAAGGCCACGCTGAAGAGGGTGATGATGAAGTTGTTTGATATTGTGCTTGCACGCAAACAATATAGAATCCAGATCCAGAATGTGTTGCAACCATTTCTGAAATTACACAACAAAAAGCACAAGACAACAAAAGCTTATAAATTAGAGATAAAAAGTCATTATAATTGTGACTCCATTTTGTCTGCTACAAAATGAACTAACGAAAGGACATCGAAATCAGCCATTCAATCTTTTCTAATCTGAACACCTTAATATTTAAGGTTATCTTCAAAGCACTGAGAATCTACACTAAAAAACATCAACAGCAAGAGAGGATTTCCAATGTTCATAGCGTAGCGTCATGGATGAGGTGCGCGCGCCCTGGGTGAGAGGCGAAAATAAAAAGAATCTCGTGAAATTTTGATTCAAAAAAGTCCTGCTCCGTCTACTACAATCTAGCACATTCCTGGTTGTACAAAGGGGTTGAAGGGCAAACAATGACACATGGTATAGAGCTCTAAGCAATGTCACTGAACATTAAGGCATTAACATATGAGCCCAGGCTCGCAGTCAAGTTCAACTTTTCCAAAATCAGGAGTAAACTAAGCAGACAGCAGCTCCCCCACAAAAAGAGCCCAGCACTGCAAGCCATCCAGCAGAATAATGTTCCCACGGGACGGAGCAATGCTAAAGTATGCTGTTCAAACACTTGGAAGTTCACCTAAAGCTTGAAGACTAGAGCTAGAAAATGGAACAAATTAGTTTGACCCTGAACTTGATCTCAGCATCGGAGAAAACGAAACTTTAGCCTTTGTTATTTTCTATGTAAATACACAGATCTATAAGTTACATGAAACTTGGTCATTTTCTGAGAAATCGAATTACAAAAGCCGTAGCATCAAACATTAGGTTAGCTGACAGTTGTAAAAAAAAAAAAAAGATCTGAATCCTATGGATTTGAGAAAGCACATAGGTGTCTTTTTCCTCTTGGCATCGTAAATCTTTTTCAGTGAGGGGCTTTACTTTTCAGGTCTTGGAGTAAATGATGAAAGTGCGGCAGGAGCTCGGGCGTGTATGTGCAGGTTCAGGATCTGCTGTCATGAGTGGTGAGGTTGGTACATGTCTTGTCATTATAAATCATCTCTATCACGCCGCATCAATATGTCTTCAGCAGGACCCTGATTACAGGAATGTTTGATCTTGCTCTTCTCTTCTAAGCAGCAAGGATCTCATTGGCTTTAATAACTGTACGTTCCAATCTTCGGAGGGACAGGCTCAAACGCTCCCCACACCGGCAGCCAATCAGCGTTATCCTTACGAGCCGTCGTGGGGCATCGGAGCAAATGTAAACACGCCGGGGGTCTTCTCATTAAAGATGGGCTGCTAATGAAATCGCATCCAGCATTTACAACCTAGTGCTAATGAAGGCAGGCCTTTGAGATGGTCCACTAATGAAAGAATGCTTTCTATTGATATACGGCTAATAAAAGACAGGCTTAATGACAAGGTTCTAATGAAACAAAGGTGTGTAAATTTGCCATAATAACAAAACCCAAAAAGTATTTCCGTTGATGGACAATTGTCATTTATCACCGACACATCAGTGAAAGTGCTTTCAGACTTTACAAGATCCCACAAACTCCAGTCTTTTGAATGAAATACATTCAAGCATTTATGAGCGCGATCGCAGCCGAGCTCTCCTAAAGCGTAACGATTGTTCGTGTCCCGTGTTGCCAGGGTGATCAAGCCCAAGGTCAAAGTTCATTGGACCTTAATGCATCTCCCAGGTGCAATAAAATAAAAAAAGGCCTTTCCCACGTGGGACTCCAGGGGATACGGTCCTGGTAGAGCGTGCAGCAGGACGGGCCAGCAGATGAGCCATCAATCGCCACGGTTACTGTCGTGAATGCCATTCACCTTCAGCAGTGTTCTCAGGAAGGATCCAAGCTCCACGTGAGGAAAAGAAAAGCTGTATGAGAGAGAGCAAGTTCTACACTGGCTCCCCTCCCCCTGCCTGTCCTCCAAAACGGCCTTGAAGACTGGAGTCGGTTCATCAAGTGTTTGCCCACATGTCCCTGAGATATCCATTTTATTGGATTTTCTCTTTCTTCAACATACTATTTCCTCCAACAGAATACTTCACTATGAATTATGAAATTTCTGTTGAGTACATGTAATAATATGGACATGCTGAGACTACATATCGGCACTATGTCTGTACTTTATGCGACAGTGTGTCCAGCATGTGCTGAAACAATTAGTCTGCTTAAGCTAAAATGTATTTGCAATTTTAGATAATTGATTAACCATTAAAACTATTTATCAAGCAAAAATGTCTCCTATTTGCTGTTTCCAGTTACTTCTGCTGCTTTTCCGCTGCGTTTTACATCAGTGGACTGAGTATTGGGGGGGGGTTTGACTATTGTTCACACAAAACAAGAAATTTGAAGACCTCAGTTCTGGGAGCTTGTGCTAGGAAATGTTTCCTTTATTTTCTAACACGCAGGCCTAATCACCACTACGTCAGTGCTTTTTGCGTTTGTGTTTCATGCTGTTTTTCCTCTAAACGAAAGGCATCAAGTCCAAAACTTAATGATGCTCTGATGTTTGCTTTTCCCTAAAGAGAGCTAATCCCGTGCAGCACCGTCTCATTACACCAACAATTACTACTCCGACAAAGCCTATGTGCATGAACTACCTTCTCTTCATTTCAGCGAGGAGCTAAAACACACTTTAGGACCCATCAGCTGATAATCAAACACTTCTGAGCGCTTCATCCCCCTCTGATCCCCGACAGCATGGAAAGCATCCGAGCTGCTCCTGAGCATATCTGCTCCATCAGCAAACTGTCTTCCCTCCCCCTTTTCCATTTTGAAGAAGAAGAAAAACATTCAAACATGCCTCTTAGCTCTTATTTATCTCAACGAGAACAAAGCCTGAACAGATCTATCACGACAACAAAGCAAACCTCATAAAGATTGCTGGAGGGAATACTCAGATGCTGATCATACTATTATACACTTGATAGAAAAAACTCTGACATATTTTACACGCGTGTAAATCCTTTTGTTGTTGTTTCTACATGCATCTCTGGCTGTCTGGACTGATTACACACCTTCTTTCAGTTTGAGAAATACCTTTGGGTTGAATTTCCACCCTTAGTTAGACCCCATTACGGAGAC